TTTCTCTGTTGTCAAACCAAAGTTCTGTTTTCTATCTGACCACCCTCTCATGCTGATACCTCAGCATGACAAAAAACGTCTCTCAGGCAACAAACAAAGGAGATTAGCACAATTTCAAAACATAAAGAGGCCACAAGAGTGCTAATGTTGCTGAGGGTGTGAAAGAAGCAATGATCACAAGCAATTGAAGAGGTAGAAAAGCTGTTCAGAGGCAATGATATGTGAAAAAGTGATGATGCCAAGCCCTGGCCGGTTTTGCTCATTGGTTGGAGCATTGGCCCGTGGATTGAAGGGTCGAGGTTTGATTCTGGGTCAAAGGCTTGGTCAGTTAGGGTATGAACTGGAGGCAACCCATCGGTGTGTCTCTTTCACATCAATGTTTCTCTTTCTTCCCCCTTCTTCCTCCCCTCTATTCTCTAAAAAAAAACATCAATGGAAAAACGAGCCACTTCCTGATGCCAAAAACTGACTTCTTGAAAGACACCCATGGAATGAATCCTGAAAGTGATTCTTTTAAGGCTAGTAGGGGGCGGTTCAATAAATTTAAGAAAAAGGAGGGTTTTTTTTTTTAAATAAATTAAACAGTACATTCGACATGTATTCAAAAAAAAAGGTTAAGACAATCATGTGGGGGGTCTGGAATGAATTAATTGAATTTACATTATTTCTAAAGGGGGAAAAATTCTTCAGTTTTTGGACAAATCACTTCTTGAACAGCCTTCAGAACCAAGGTCCCACTGTATTATCATCCATTACTTTGGATAGAGTCAAGTAAGGAATTAAGGTTAACAAATATAATCTTGCTTCTTACTCTTCTGCTCAACCACTAAAAGCCACATTTTCAAAATCTTTATATTTGGGCTTAGATTAGATGCCTGGCCCTTTAAAAATCCTCTGAGGAGAAGCATGGCACATAAAGGTGCCCCGAGTTCTGTTTGGGAGGTCTGACATCGACAGCTGTCCTAACAGATTTGCGGGGCATCCTCTGATTGTGTCTTTGCCATCACATCCAGGCCTACACACTGAGCAAATCCTCTGCCAAAGGCACATACCACTGAACTGCTGAGGTGGGAGGCAACCTCAGTGCTGGAGGGGGGCAGGTGGCTCACCATTTTTGGAAAGAATGACCCACTGCACGTGCGCACACACACAGACACGCAATCTTAATATGTCACCAATCTTACCTATGTACCAAAGATGAATTTTCTGAACTCCCTCTCATATTTTAATTATTCTCAAGATACTTCCATTCATGCCTAACTTAGCTCACCTCTGTGATACTCCATCTGCCTCACCTATATCTTATTGCTCTCTTTGTGGCCTTATCTTTCCTCACAAATCGCTGTACATAGTGCCCTGTCTTAATGCCAACTTCACTGCCGACCTCATTTTCAATGAAACCATTTGGGATTCTAAACAAGTTTTCCATCAGGTCTTTAGGAAGGCTCAGTTCTCAGTCCCTGAGCGGGAGGGAAGGCCAGGCAAAAGTTGGCCACTTCCAAGCAAACTTCCTACAGCCAGTATTTTCTTTTTTTGTGTGGGAAAGAGTTTCTTGTAATTACAACAGTTGTTTTTTTACACATTATTTTAGCAGAATTCCTTTTCCGTGATCATGGAACCCCCAAATATAAAGCAGATTATAGAGCTGTGGCTGCATAGGGAATGGAGGTGAGTCAGCTGCAGTCTCCTTTAATCAGTCACCCTTCCCCTCACCCATCAGCACTCAGCCTTTTCTACTATATCATCCTTTGGACTCTGTGTCCTCGCTCCAAGCTAATGGAGCATCAGAATCCCTTTTACAGGTTCTGATTCTTGAGTTCCTCACCATATAATTGGCACCTCTAGGGGTGGAGTGATCGCAGAGATAATAATCAATGTTGCGCCCATCACCAACCATTTAGATGGTGTGGACTCCCATATCATTCCACTGCCGATAAACCAGAAGACGTGGTTGCTACCATCTCAGGAGACATTTGAATTGAGCTGACCTTGGGTGTGGGTCTCAGTGCTTGGTCTCTCACCCAGAGACCATGAGAGATAGCAAACTCTCAACCCATCTAGAAAATGTTTAAAATCACCATCTACATGTCAAATGATCTGGGAGAACCTTGGTATTAGAAGACTAGGGGTGCTCAGAACCTATTTCTTTACCCTAAAAAGACAAATTGGCTCAGCTTTCTTAGAAATAGCCTGTGCGGTAGAAAGAACTTTGATTTTGAAGCCAAACAGACCAGGAAAAACTTGTCACATTTACTTAAAATTTAAGTCTCACTTTCTCCATCTGTTTATTGGGAATATGAATGTTCTCCTTTTGGAAAGTTAGGTGGGAATTTGCATAAAGCACTTGCAGAGTGCCTGGCACTTCTTGGTAGGGTCTTGGGAAATGTTTACCTCATCCTCCAAGTATAGAACTTGAATCCCAAGAGACCCCCTCCACAGTATATGAAGTCACCTACAGGTGGTTAGGTAACTCCACATTTCAAAATACAAAGCAGGAGAAGGGGGCAGAAGTGGAAAAGTTCTAGGAAAAAGGAAGAGTAATCATGACCATTCACACATACATTAAGCTTTAACCACGTCCCAGTCCCTAGACTAAGAATTTAACCCGTATCACCTCGTTTAATCCTTACCAGACTCCATCAGGAAGGTACCATTACTATTCTCACTTTACAGATGAGGAAACAGCCTCACAGGCTTGATAAGTAACTTGGCCAAGGTCACACAGTGGAGCAAGTAGCCAGAGTTACTGTCATTCCAAAAGAAGATTTCTTAACCACAACCCTCTTCAAAAAAGAGAAGCTTAACAGCCTGTTGAAATTTGGACTATAATATCTTACACTGACATGGAGAACCAAGCTGAGTTCTGGAAGGCAATTAGAAATGTAAATCTTTCTTAGAAGACAGATTGTAAAGTTGAAAAAAATGTCTGAAATAGGGAAACAGACGTGTGGTGGATCTCCAAGGACAGTCTTCGGCCCTTGTCCTTCAACACCAAATATTTTAAACATTAAATTAGAATAAGAATTGAGGGGAAACCCATTGGAAGAAGCTGTGACTTGGTCTTGCCTGGGAAGTCATGAGGCTCTTTTAACACAAAGGTCACCCTGTCCTCCTCTTCCCCCCAGACCTCATGGCGCTGAAGCAGGTTAAATACCACAGTGAGAAATCCTTCGGCACCTGGATCCAGAAACAGCAGAGGAATAGAGCAAAGAGATGGAGTGATGATGAAGGCATTAAGTATGAAGGTTGAGGGCAGCAGGGGAACCTTGTTGGGCGTGGGGCTGCCCCCCACTAAATCAGTTTCTCAATCCCCATTTTTCATAAACAATTGAGAGTGCCTCAAGAAAATGTAAAATGATCATCAACCAGATTCTGCTCCTAAATGCCCTCCAGATAGAAATCAGGAATTCTGGACCTGATCATTCCTCTGGAAAGAATGCATCTAGAAACCTCCTAGAAATGAGATCAGAGAATTGACAAGTGCTGGGACTATGCAAACAAACAAACAAACTCATCTGCATAAATAAATGATCCATTGGGTCCATTCAAAACATAGGCACCTGTAGGCTGGTGGCATGTCAAGAAAGAAGCCCTTGGAGTTATTTCAGAATAATTCCATATTGGGGGGAAGTCCAGATGAATCTCCCCACGTGTATCATGGTATGTATGTGATTGTTTCCCCTTTCTCTCCCCCACCCCCATTCTTGGTGACCTCATGTGAGTTCAGGGTTTGGAATTAGTCATCCTGTTTTCCTGAACAAGGACTGCATACAGAACAGTCCCATTTTGAGACCTAGTTTCTTTTATGACAGGGCCCCAGGAAAGTTTTATGAGAATCCTGATTTAAGGTTGGAGGTTAACAGCTCTGAAATTCTGGGAACCAAAAAATATTGTGTAGGTGGGTGTACAGTAAAAGTGAAATAAGGAACTCCTCTGCAAACCCAGCCCCAAATCTACAGTCGGTTAATCTGAAAACTTCTGGGAGGACAGCCCAGCTGTGAAAGGGACCAGCCACAGTCTACCCCTTCCTTACAGTGGAACACAAGGAGGCCCTTGAACTCTGTTATGCTGGAAAGAACGGGATACAGAGGGCAAGGGTCAGGAGCCACCCTGACAAGGTGAGTGTGCATGAAGGGCATGGTCAGCTTGCTGTGGACACTCTCCACCAACACCAAAGTCCGACTCTGATGGACTTTTCCCATCAACACTTGAAGACTTCAAAGTCTACCCAGGGTTTACTGTTCTCAGATTCACCAGTTTGTGGTTCTCCAAGAGTTGCCAGACCACTAGAGCAGAAAACTTCAGGGAGTCCCACCTTAGATCTCACAATTGTGTGTGGTTGTGGTGGAGGAGGCTACCCTTGGCAAATGTCTGAGATTTGCTAATCCCTTTTCTTTCTAGCTTGGCAGGTCACCTTAACTTGGAAACTGAATGGGCAGCTGGGAAAATGGGTTTATTAGGGGTTGGGTCAATGCTCTGAGAACTTGAGCCTTGGCTGGGGGTAACATTTGTGGAAAGGTAAGATGCCTAGGAAGCCACAGTACTGTGCCAAAATAAACACGATTACCGGGTATCCAGATCCACCATAGGTCACTGCGTGGCCCACAGCCTCACTTGGAGTGGACTGTTCATTCCTCTATCTGCAGATCCTCTCCATCCCGCAGAGCAGCTGGCATCAAGCACCAGCAGTAGAGAAAGTTGCTGGGAAAGAGGGTAAAGTGAGACGAAAAAGGAAACAGACAGAAGAGGGGCGGGGGGGAGTTTCTGTATGTTTTATCCCAGTGCCCCCAAAACTCACCTTGGTAATATTTCTTATCATTGTAGTCACAACTGTACCAGAATTTTATACACACACGCCCATTCCTTGGCTGCCTTCTCAAAAAGCAACTAGATCATTCCCTTGTTCACAAATCTTTGCCAACTCTCCTTTCCTTAGGGCTGTACTCCTCAGAGGGAAGTACACCTACCAAGGCTGTGGCGCAAGATGATTTTCAATGCAATTAATTATTTTTATTTTAACAGTTCTATCATTCTGATATGAAAACAAACTTAGTAAAGTAAAAGAGAGAATCAATGTGAAAATCATTAAGTCAATAATAGAGGTGGGTACACAGAGATTGCAAAAGTAGTGGCAAGGAAATGTGAAGTTTTAGAAACAGTGGCTCAAAGACAGACAGGGCAGACTCCCTGAGGGTGTGCCATTTACCCATCCTCCACCAACTGCTCTTCACCCACGTCCTAAGTCCCCTGGTCTCCAACGGACCCGTAAGCTACATCCCAGACATAGTGGACCAGGTCGTTTCTGCACAGGTATCACCTGCTTCCCGGCTTCCTGCTCCTCCCACCATGTGGACTGTCCTTTCCTATCTGTGCTCAGTGGAACCCAACCCATTTCCTCATCAGTCAATCCCAATCGCTTCATCAGAATTTAAATCTCCCAGAACGATGTGTTGGGACTTGGAGCCATTCAATTGTCAACATTCTACAAATATTCATTGAGCTTCTACCGTGCCAGGCGACGAGAATTCAGCCTTAGGAGGAAAGAAAGGATGAAAATTCTGCTGTCATGAAACAAAGATTCTAATGAAGTGAGACATCAGCACGTGTCCTATTCTGCTGTGTGGGGCCACTTTGGGGTGTGGCTTTGCCCAGTGAACCTGGGTGCCCGGGCAGACAGGGTCTTCATTGTCCTATCCCCAGAAAAGCCTGGCATGACTCCTGAGAATTGACATTGTTCAGAGGTTGAAAGACCAGAGTTGGGGCTCTGGTGTCTGGTCTCATAACCCACATATCCTGTGTGTCTATGACACTTGAGAAATTGTTTCCTCTGTGCATCTCCTGAGATCCTCCCCACGTCCCTGCAACGTGTGATGCCCACGAAATGGTTTCAAGGATGCCCCCACTGGGCTTCCTGTCTTTCCAGAGGCCACGCATCAGTGGTCAAGTCCATGGTTCCCATGGCTCCTCTGCCTCTGTGGTGAGCCGCAGGGAGACACCTTCAGCACAGACAACTCTGATTCCCCACAGGAATCAGACCCACAGAATATATTGAGCACCTACAGGTGCAAGGCTCTGTAGCTACTGCTGAAGAGAGGAGGACCCTCAAAAACTCCGGCAGGGATGGGAAAAGCCTGGACCTCTTTTCAGAAAGAAACAGCGCAGAGTTCTCCTGCTGTCCTCTCCTCGCAGCTCCCTCTCACCGTCTCTCTTCCAGAAGCACAGCCGAAACTGGCTGCAATGAGTAACCAACTCACCTAAACGTTCCCAGCTTTAGTACTGAACGTCCCATCTCCCGGGGAACTCCGTGATCCCAAGCAAACCAGAAAGGGCTGTCGATCTGGCTGTGGGTCACGTAGGCTGTGCTCCCATCTGATCTTTTCTAACCGCTGTGTGTCCTCGGGCAGTTATCTACCATCTCTGAGATCCTATTTTCTCCTCTGCAAATGGAGATAACACCACCCCCCAGGGCTGCGGTGGGGAAAAAGAGGGAATGTATGTTTAGGGAGTTGGCCAGGGCATCCTAAGTAGTTTTGTTCGTAATACCTTTGGAGGCTAGACTGAGAACAGTGTAGAAAGACATTGCCACATTGGCAAAGGACCTATGAGCTGGTGAATGCCTGCTGAATATCTATGAGCTGCCGACATGCCAAGGATCATGTAGCCACAACAGAGGTGGTCTCCACCAGGGTCTCTGAATGGCAGCAAACAAGAGACTTGCCAGCAAAACAAAAGAAACCCACCATCCGCCCAGCTCTGTGTTACTGCTTTTATCAAGCACTTACTATGTGCCAGATACTAAGTACCGTGTGCGCAGTTAATCCTCACAACAGCCCCTCCACGTAGCAATCTAATCCCCAATTTTAAGGACGAGGAAACTGAAGCCGAGAGAGATTTAATAACTTGCCCAAGGTCGCACTGCTGGGAAGGACAGACCTCAGGGCCTCTAGCCCCAACTACCATCTAACCATATGCAGAAGCCACTCTCTCCCCGTGCCTCGGTAGAAGCCGACCACTTTCTCCCCCCCTTCGAATAGAAGGAAACTGGCATTTGATGGGGCACAGGGCAATCTGATCAGCCTTGGAGAGAAGTGGAATTAGCAGGCGAGCCCTTGCTTGCTGGGAGATGGCTTACCCTGAAACCCTGCTGGGTTTCCCAGAACCCTGCATAAGTATTTACATAATTACATTACACTGCTCCTCAGCTGCAGACTGAGGAGAAAGCATAGAACCCACCCAGGCCTGTGAACCACTGAAGTTTGAACATGTATTTTTTCAACAGTCTATTATGCAGACCCCTTCCTGCAAACTGTCCAGCACAGAGGAAGGGGCTCCTCACTTGGAAACGGACAGGCTTTCATCCCAGCTCTACCGCTGACAAGCAACGCCACTTCGGACAACTCGGGGCTCAGTTCTCCCATCTGCAAAATGGGCAGAATGTCCATCCAGTATCATCATCATCATCATTGTCACCCCTTGTGAAGTACAGTGTGCTCAGCACTCCCATCTTCGCATCAAATCCACTCAAAAGCCCATCGATGCAGTTACTGTTTTTATCTGTATTTTACAATTGAGAAAATTGAGGCTCAGAGGAAGTCGAAAATTTGGCCAACATCCTACATCTAAAGTGGCAGAGCTGGGTCTGAAACCCAGGCGGTCCAACAGAAGAACCTTGCTCTCTACCCTCTCTCCTTCGTTACCCTGTGTACTATCTCTTGTAACATGTTCTGTAAAGCTTTCAATGAGATCACACATGTGAACATGCCCAACTCACAGGAACGTACCCGTCCACAATTCTCAGAGTCCTGCTTCTTAGTAGTGGCTGGAAAGGACAGTGAGGGACCCTGGGTGGGCACAGTCCCTCCATGGGAGCACCCCCTCCTTCCCTAACAGTATTGCCCTTTGAGGTGATAGCAAATTATTCAGCAGTCCCGATAAGCATCTGTGAACCTAAGAGTGACTCAGCAACCCCCAGGGACCAAGGCAAGAGCATCTTCCCGCAGAACAAAGCCAGGCAGTAACCTGTGGCAAAGGTAATTACAGGCAGAGAGGCAGCAGGAGGCAAAGGGCTGGCTGGGTTATAGAACTTTGAGGATGAGTCACAACCTCAAAGTCTTTGAGGAGGTCTACAGGTTCCACCAAGCCACTGGGGACCCAACTAGAACTTTTTAAACAAAAGTACAAGAAACTCCCCACTCGCCATCCAACTACCACCTCACATAACCTCCTTGCCTCTCCTCTCTCCGTAACTCCATGCCTAAGTCCCCCAAGACTGCCCCCACTAGCCCAATTCTCTCAAAAAGGATGGAGGAGGGCGTGATAGAATTATCAAATATACAGGAAACAGCAATGTGGTTGAAAAATGGAATTCATGGCTCCTCGTGGTGTCCTACAACCGGTTATAAATAGGTCCTTTTTCATCGAGATAGAAAATAAAAACCTACCACTGTCAAACCCAGCAATTTATGGCAGCGTTTTGGGTTAGGGTCAGATAGACCTAAGTTTGTGTTCCACATCTGGCTGTGTGACTTGGCCAAGTGACTTACCTCTCTGAGTTTCCACTTCCTCGTTTATTAAATGTGGGCTATAACAATACTTACTCTGTAGGGTCATTTAAGGGAACTAAATTAGATAATACATGCAAAGGGAAACTTTTGTCAGTTATTTGATTTATTACTTCCATAATCTGAATTCTGCCTCCTCCTTCCCCGGTGCTCAGCCTTCTGTCTTTCACGATTTTCATTTTGATCACCATCTCCCCATTGTTCGTTGGGGTTGACACCCTGCCCCTACTTATGGGAGCTTTAAAATGGGGCCAGTGCCCTGACCGGTTTGGCTCAGTGGATAGAGCATCGGCCTGCGGACTCAAGGGTCCCGGGTTCAATTCCGGTCAAGGACATGTACCTCGGTTGCGGGCACATCCCCAGTGGGGGATGTGCAGGAGGCAGCTGATCGATGCTTCTCTCTCATCGATGTTTCTAACTCTCTATCCCTCTCCCTTCCTCTCTGTAAAAAAATCAATAAAATCTATTTTTAAAAAATGGGGCCAGTTGAGTTGGCGATCAACTGCAAACTCAGGTTCTTAAGTCTTTGGTTACCCCAGACTTGCCAGCAGTGGGGCCTGTGTTGTCCGTAATCAGGTTCCGGAACTTTCCAATGGCCCCTTGTTTTAGGTTGCAGAGGCTAGAGAGGCTCCTTACCCTCCCTCTCCACTCTGCTCCTCCCCCCCCCCCCACCCCCGCTTTCTGAGAGTCTCACCTGCACATGGCACCAAAGGTCACAGGCTCTTTCCACGGAAATGCTATTTGATTACCTGGTGTTTTGCATGTTGTAACACCCAAGGCCTGATGTGACCAGGACATGTGACCAGCCACAGCTTGACAATAACAAAGTCACACTTTTTTAAAAAATATATATATATATATTTTATTGATTTCAGAGAGGAAGGGAGAGGGGGAGAAAGATAGAAACATCAATGATGAAAGGGAATCATTGATCAGCTGCCTCCTGCACACCCCACTCTGGGGGTCAAGCCTGCAACCCGAGCATGTGCCCTGATCAGAAATTGAACCATGACCCCCTGCTTCATAGGTTGATGCTCAGCCACTGAGCCACATCAGTCAGGCCAAAGTCATACTTTTTCAAACTAACAACTTCCATCTTGTCCACACCCTTCTCCCATCTCAAACTACCGTCCCTCCAAACGCAACAAAAATCTGTGCTATGCTGTTTAAACATCAAAGCAATCTTTCCATATAGCCTCAGGCCGGATTCCTACCATCTTGTTGGATAACCATTTCTCAGATGGCTCCTGCCTCCTGTGTCACAGAGCACTCTGCCTGTTCGGCACAGGAGCAGTGAGACAAAGTTGCTCAGTGGCCGCATGGCCAGTGGAGGGAGGAGGAGGATTTCATCGTTAAAGCCCCACCAGAACTGATGACACCAAGGTTGGTTGGGGACTGGGGAGGCAGGCACACCACTTGAGGGAGTTGAGGGAGGGTATGTGTGCACAATCTTTACGGAGAGTAATTTGGTGGTATCTTATCAAAATGTGAATGTTCATATCCTTGAAAACCCCACTTCTCAGAATTTCCCCCTAGATATATGTACACAAGACCACAGAAATATTTGCTGAAAATAACACTAGAGTCCCTCAATAGGAGAATACTTACATAAAACTGTGGACTACATACCATCTATATATATAAAAGCTTAAGCGCCCAAACAACCGGAACAACCGGTTGCTATGATGTGCACTGACCACCAGGGGGCAGATGCTCAATGCAGAAGCTGCCCCCTGGTGGTCAGTGTGCTCACACAGCAGGAGCACTGCTCAGCTGAGACGGGTCCCAGGTGGCCCACCAGCCCACCTGCAGCTACCACTCCCTCAGTAGTCCTGCAGGTCCAATCTCCAGAGAACCAACCAGGCACCGATGGACCAGCGCCACCAGCACAATCCCAACAGCGCTGTCTGCCTCCTGGAAGTCAGCCGCCTTCCCTCCCTAGAAGCTCCCGCAAGGACGAAACACTATAAAAGCAGCCATCAGGTGGCTCCCGACAACCAGCGCGAATGTCAGCAGGATGGATCCAGAACCCTGGCGGGCAAGGGCGTCCCACAGCTGGCCGATCACATCCCCACCTCTCCCCAGGCCCCTCGGGAGCCCACCCATGCACGAATTTGTGCACCAGACCTCTAGTGAAGTAATATTAGGAAGATAGAGTTACATCTATGTGTTATGATATTAAAAAATGTCCATATTCAGTAAAAAAAAAAAGTTAAAAACAAGGCTTATCATGTGATATAGTATTTTTGTTTAAACATATATATTTTGTGTGTATCTGAGAGAATATACAGCAAAAAAAATGAATATTGTTGCTGGGAACAGGGTTGGGAGGAAAGTTCACATTCTTTGTACAAATTTTGTCACAGGCATATATTTACCTATATTTATATCTACAGGACTAAGATATCCTAACACAACAGATCTCTCCATTTCTCTCCCTGCCATCCCTCCAGTAGAATCCTCTAATAAAGTGTAATAGTCCCAAATAAACATGTATTCAGAGCTTTGCCGTTTATAAAGCATTTTCACAAGTAAAACCTCCTTTAAATCCCACACCATCCCGTAAGACTATCCTAGTTTACAGAAGAGAAACTCAGAAAGGAAACATGTTCTCCCCCACATCAATGGCTGGTGGTTGGTGGAGCCAGGACGAGGAGCCCAGGTTGTC